AATAGACCGATTTTTGCCCGCCACCTGCAAAAATCGCACGGTTTTTGGCCGCTAGCGGCGAAAATCGCGCGATTTTTGCCCGCCAGCTGCGAAAACCGCGCGGTTTTTGGCCGGTAGCGGCGAAAATCGCGCGATTTTTGCCCGCCAGCTGCGAAAATCGCACGGTTTTTGGCCGCTAGCGGCGAAAATCACGCGAATTTTTCCCGCTACCGGCGAAAATTGCGCGATTTTCGAAAATCGCACGGTTTTTGGCCGCTAGCGGCGAAAATCGCGCAATTTTCGCTCATAGCGGCCAAAAACCGCGCGATTATCGCTGCTAGCGGCCATAAACCGTGCGATTTTCGCCGGTAGCGGGCAAAAATCGGGCGAATTTCGTCGCTGGAGGGCAAAAATCGGGCGATTTTCGCTGCTAGCGGCCAAAAACCGTGCGATTTTCGCCGCTAGCGGCCAATAATCGCGCTATTTTCGCCGGTAGCGGCGAAAATCGGCCGATTTTTGACATCCAGCGGCGAAATTCGCCCGATTTTTGCCCGCTACCGGCGAAAATCGTGCGATTATTGGCTGCTAGCGGCAAAAATAGCGCGATTTTTGTCCGCCGGCTGCGAAAATCGCACGGTTTTTGGCCGCTAGCGGCGAAAATCGCGCGGCTTTTGACCGGTAGCGGCGAAAATCGCGCGATTATTGACTGCTAGCGGCGAAAATCGCACGATTTTTGCCCGCTAGCTACGAAAATCGCACAGTTTTTGGCCGCTAGCGGCGAAAATCGCGCGATTATTGACTGCTAGCGGCGAAAATCGCTCGATTTTTGGCCGCTAGCGGCGAAAATCGCACGGTTTTTGGCCGCTAGCAGCGAAAATCGCGCGGTTTTTGGCCGCTAGCGGCGAAATTCGCATGATTTTTGGCCGCTAGCGGCGAAATTCTCACGATTTTTGCCCGCTAGCGGCGAAAATCGCGATATTTTTGGCATTTACCTGCGAAAATCGCGCGGTTTTTGGCCGCTAGCGGCGAAAACCACACGATTTTTGGCCGGTAGCGGCGAAAATCGCGCAATTTTTGCCAGCCAGCTGCGAAAATCGCACGGTTTTTGGCCGTTAGCTGCGAAAATCGCCCGATTTTTGGCCGCTAGCGGCAGAAATAGCCCCTTTTTTGGCCGCTAGCGGCGAAAGTCGGTCGATTTTTGCCCTCCAGCGGCGAAATTCACCCGATTTTTGCCCGCTACCGGCGAAAATCGCGCGGTTTTTGGCGGGTAGCAGCGAAAATTGCGCGGTTTTCGCTGCTAGCTGCCAAATACCGTGCGATTTTCGCCGCTACCGGCCAAAAATCGCTCGATTTTCGCCGGTAGCGAGTAAAAATCGAGTGAATTTCGCCGCTGGAGGGCAAAAATCGGGCGATTTTTGGCCGCTAGCGGCGAAAATCGCGCGGCTTTTGACCGGTAGCGGCGAAAATCGCGCGATTTTTGCCCGCTAGCTGCAAAAATCGCACGGTTTTTGGCCGCGAGCGGCGAAAATCGCGCGGCTTTTGACCGGTAGCGGCGAAAATCGCGCGATTTTTGCCCGCTAGCTACGAAAATCGCACGGTTTTTGGCCGCTAGCGGCGAAAATCGCGCGATTATTGGCTGCTAGCGGCGAAAATCGCACGATTTTTGGCCGCTAGCGGCGAAATTCGCACGATTTTTGGCCGCTAGCGGCGAAATTCGCACGATTTTTGGCCGCTAGCAGCGAAAATCGCACGGTTTTTGGCCGCTAGCGGCGAAAATCGCGTGATTTTTGGCCGGCAGGGGCAAAAATAGCCCCTTTTTTGGCCCCTAGCGGCCAAAAACCGCGCGATTTTCGCTGCTAGCGGCCAAAAACCGCGCGATTTTTGCCAGTAGCGGGCAAAAACCGGGCGATCTTCGCCGCTAGCTGGAAAAATCGCCCGGTTCTTGGCCGTTATCGCCGAAAATCGCGCGGTTTTTTGCCGCTAGCGGAGAAAATCGCGCGATTTTTAGCCGGTAGCGGCGAAAATCGCGCGATTTTTGGCCGGTAGCGGCGAAAATAGACCGATTTTTGCCCGCCACCTGCAAAAATCGCACGGTTTTTGGCCGCTAGCGGCGAAAATCGCGCGATTTTTGGCCGGTACTGGCGAAAATCGCGCGATTTTTGGCCGGTACTGGCGAAAATCGCGCGATTTTTGCCCGCCAGCTGCGAAAACCGCGCGGTTTTTGGCCGGTAGCGGCGAAAATCGCGCGATTTTTGCCCGCCAGCTACGAAAATCGCACGGTTTTTGGCCGCTAGCGGCGAAAATCACGCGAATTTTTCCCGCTACCGGCGAAAATTGCGCGATTTTCGAAAATCGCACGGTTTTTGGCCGCTAGCGGCGAAAATCGCGCAATTTTCGCTCATAGCGGCCAAAAACCGCGCGATTATCGCTGCTAGCGGCCATAAACCGTGCGATTTTCGCCGGTAGCGGGCAAAAATCGGGCGAATTTCGTCGCTGGAGGGCAAAAATCGGGCGATTTTCGCTGCTAGCGGCCAAAAACCGTGCGATTTTCGCCGCTAGCGGCCAATAATCGCGCTATTTTCGCCGGTAGCGGCGAAAATCGGCCGATTTTTGACATCCAGCGGCGAAATTCGCCCGATTTTTGCCCGCTACCGGCGAAAATCGTGCGATTATTGGCTGCTAGCGGCAAAAATCGCGCGATTTTTGTCCGCCGGCTGCGAAAATCGCACGGTTTTTGGCCGCTAGCGGCGAAAATCGCGCGGCTTTTGACCGGTAGCGGCGAAAATCACGCGATTATTGACTGCTAGCGGCGAAAATCGCACGATTTTTGCCCGCTAGCTACGAAAATCGCACAGTTTTTGGCCGCTAGCGGCGAAAATCGCGCGATTATTGACTGCTAGCGGCGAAAATCGCTCGATTTTTGGCCGCTAGCGGTGAAAATCGCACGGTTTTTGGCCGCTAGCAGCGAAAATCGCGCGGTTTTTGGCCGCTAGCGGCGAAATTCGCATGATTTTTGGCCGCTAGCGGTGAAATTCTCACGATTTTTGCCCGCTAGCGGCGAAAATCGCGATATTTTTGGCATTTACCTGCGAAAATCGCGCGGTTTTTGGCCGCTAGCGGCGAAAACCACATGATTTTTGGCCGGTAGCGGCGAAAATCGCGCAATTTTTGCCAGCCAGCTGCGAAAATCGCACGGTTTTTGGCCGTTAGCTGCGAAAATCGCCCGATTTTTGGCCGCTAGCGGCCGAAATAGCCCCTTTTTTGGCCGCTAGCGGCGAAAGTCGGTCGATTTTTGCACTCCAGCGGCGAAATTCACCCGATTTTTGCCCGCTACCGGCGAAAATCGCGCGGTTTTTGGCGGGTAGCAGCGAAAATTGCGCGGTTTTCGCTGCTAGCTGCCAAATACCGTGCGATTTTCGCCGCTACCGGCCAAAAATCGCTCGATTTTCGCCGGTAGCGAGTAAAAATCGAGTGAATTTCGCCGCTGGAGGGCAAAAATCGGGCGATTTTTGGCCGCTAGCGGCGAAAATCGCGCGGCTTTTGACCGGTAGCGGCGAAAATCGCGCGATTTTTGCCCGCTAGCTGCAAAAATCGCACGGTTTTTGGCCGCGAGCGGCGAAAATCGCGCGGCTTTTGACCGGTAGCGGCGAAAATCGCGCGATTTTTGCCCGCTAGCTACGAAAATCGCACGGTTTTTGGCCGCTAGCGGCGAAAATCGCGCGATTATTGGCTGCTAGCGGCGAAAATCGCACGGTTTTTGGCCGCTAGCAGCGAAAATCGCGCAGTTTTTGGCCGTTAGCGGCGAAATTCGCACGATTTTTGGCCGCTAGCGGCGAAATTCGCACGATTTTTGCCCGCTAGCGGCGAAAATCGCGATATTTTTGGCATTTACCTGCGAAAATCGCGCGGTTTTTGGCCGCTAGCGGCGAAAACCACACGATTTTTTGGCTGACCTGCAATACTCTCGCTTCGTTGTGAAAATTACTGCTTTTAGTCAGATTTGGAAGTGTTGCTGTCCTGAGAGTCTCTTGACTTTCTTGAAAGATAGATATCTTTATGCTCCTGCATTGGTCTGCAGGAGCAGACAATATGCAGCTACCAATATGCAATATGCATATTTGGTCAAGTAGTAGGATTGACTTCGTCCTGTAGTAGGATCGACTGGGTCCCGTAGTAGGATCAACTGGGTCAAATAGTAGGAGCAACAGGGTCCTGCAACCTGCAACTTTGGTGCTACATAGTCTTCCCAGCTTGATGCCTTCTTACTTAGGAACAAAATTTTTATATTGAAATTTATAATGAAAAACCCACATTTATATATTTATATTATGTAAAGATTTGAAATACACCAAGTCTCTCACACACTCCTTAGTGCATTATCAAGGTCTTGGTATATGGTTTGGACAAGACTTGCATCCCAGTGACTTAAAAGTTGCAATCTGGAATCCAGATAGCAACTGGATACCAGTTGCCATCTTGCTTATCTTCTTGACCTGGTCATGTCACCTTCATTCCCACCTGACAACGTTCTCAAGGTGTTCCCAAGGTTATTCTGGTCTTCTAGGGAATTAAGATCAGTTGTACTTTGTCACCCTGGGATTCTGAGAACTACTGTTGTTAATGAAGGTATCAGTTCAGATGCTATTCCTCTCCACGCATAAAGGAGAGCGGCTATTGAGACTACTTGGATTTATTCACTTTTTCAAATCTAGTTCGCTCAAAATAATTTTTCTTGTAAAGCTATCCTCAGAAGTAAAGCTTTTGTTTTGCTTCCGAGGCTAACTTTAGAAGAAAAATCAGTGAATTAAAACTAATTTTAATGGATAAATCCAAGATCAGTAGCCTCAAAATTCAGGAGAATGCAAAAGATGGTGTATTTCAAATCTTTACATTGTGTTTTTTTTTATCATATGTTATTATGATAAGACATATCATACCATTACTCCCCACCATTACTTATTGTAATCATTTTTCAGTTGGTCAAGTTTATCAATGATTTATTAAGGAGTTAAAAAGATTAATGACAATCTGTACAATGACTTTATTTGTACAATGTGCTATTCTAATTTAAGTTCGTTGTATCAAATACAGCATTTCAAATTCTGACTAATTACACACTAGTCAATGCATTTTGTATATAATATAAATGTATGAACATATATCTACAATGTGGAGCAATGCACCCAAAATGCTGATTAGCTGCAGCAAGTCGTTGTATGATGACAATATGAAATGCATACATTTCATTATGAAATGGGAATAAACTTGTTTACATAAATATTTAGGCACTTGATAATATTGCTGTCAAGTCATGTCACGCACTAGTTAAATGAATATACAAAGTGAGCATCATTAAAAAAAAAAATCAGAACATGTTAAATATTGTTAAGTTTACACAGATACAAGAGTAGATTTGAGGATATAATAAAGAAAACCAGCTGAATATAGAATAAACTGTGGAATAACCAAGTCATAGATCTACTGCAAATGTATATAATGCCATTTCTCCAGTTTCTAGTTTTAGCAGTAACTTTTCTAGTTACTAGACTAAGATGCAATATTTCACTTTGCAATACAATAAATCTGAGCAAAAATTCATCAGTCTTTTTATGTATGCATGTCAAGCAAGGTTTTTCTTCATAGTTTAGTTGAAGTACATCTCTACTTGCAAAAAAATGCAACAGATATTTAAGTTTTTTGATCACCCATTTGTCCAAAATGTCACAAGAGCTTGACATCTAACTTGACTTAGCAAACAGGCAAATCAGACCATTATCACAAATTATCTACACCCCACAGTGCAAAGGGAGTAAGATAAGGAACTAGATATTTCACACAGTATTGCACTCGCAACTTAGGTTCCTCTAACATTTTTCATCACAACTTCTGGTGTACTGAACTGTCTCAAGAACCTCGACTCGAATTAACAGTCACTTTCATTCCTTATTTCTATATTTGTATGTCAAAGTTCAGTAGTCTCAAGTTTTTTATCCATGAGAGGGTTAGCAATTTTGTGGAAAGTTTGGTATAGGTTTGCTCGGTAAGTGTCATTGATGTTCTGATGTTCGTGGTTCATCAGCTGGGTATTGGAACCCACCGTACTGGATTCCCTGAAAAAAATTACAAGCACATAAGCTCAGGAATAATGCACACAATGCATTCATACTTATAGCATATCAAACTCAAAATGGGCTTTTATTTATTTTTTCCTTTGCCCATTATCATGTGACAATCATACATATGTGTATACAGTACTTATATTCTACCCAAGTTAATGAACCTACAGGTTTCCTACAGTTTCAAATTGCCATACGACATTATAGGAAAGACAGGACACTGCAAGCATACCTCTCATCCTTGTCACTACACTTACATAGTTACACTTCCCTTCTCCATACCCCTCCTGCTCCCCTATCCCATACCCAAATGGATTCCCAACCCCTGATCTTCCTAACCACACCACCCCAGACCCTCCTAGCTTCCCCATACTGGATCCTCCCAGCCCCCTCATACCCCAGATCCCCCCCAAGTCCTCCTTCCTAGGCCCCCCCCCACCCCAGACACCCCTTGTCCCCCTTGTCTGTGGAATCAACAGAAACTGAGGATGGAAAGAAGAGAGTCAGTTTCTAGGTAATGTAATTTTAATAGGAAATGACATTGCAGATGAAGCTGCAAAACTTGCAACTAAGAGAAGAAATGTAGGCATTTACATACCACAGAGTATCACAGATTAAGAAAGTACCCGTAATTAGAAATATAGCAATGCAAAAGATGTACAGTGACCACAACACAACAGTTGCAACATCAGGATCTGCGGGTTGGTACAAGAATTCAACCAACTACGAACCACTTGGTTTGATGAAAGGGAGCAGTAGAGCAACAGAAGTACATTTACATCGCATCAGGCTTGGATACCCATGTGCATGGGAAATAGGCTTACAGGTTCCGGAAGATGAGAGGAAATGTCAGCACTGTGGAGAAATGCCCGACAGACCACTGGAACATTATCTAGCATAGTGCACAGTTACAAACTCATTAAGATTTCAACTTAGATTCAACAGAGCAAAAGAAGTTGTTAAACACACATGGCAAAATCTTACTGAAGCGACCTTACGAGTCATAAATACTCATACTTCGCCCAAGTAAAACAGAAACAAGCAACACTTAGTGGGCAAGCCAGAGGCTTAGGACCCATGCAGGAATATCCCTGCAAAAAAAAAAAAAAAAAAAGTAATGTACTTGAACATAGATGGAATTACAAGCAAGGCAAGTGAACTTAGGGAAAGAGCACAAGAAGGGAACCCAGATGTAATCGGACTCACGGAAACAAAACTCTCAGGATTCATAACGAATGCGGTGTTTCCCCAGAACTACACTGTAATTAGGAGAGAGAGGGAAGGAAGGGGAGGAGACAGAGTGACCCTACTGATAAGAAAGGAATGGAGTTCCGAGGAGATGGTTATTCCAGGCTGCGAGGGGGTTCAGAGACTACATAACGGGCACCATGATGATGGGAGGACCAAGAGTAGTATAAGCAGTGATATCTAACCCTTCACCAACTGACAGAAGACCCAGGCAAGAATATGACAAACAACATGGCAGTTAACACTATAATAGAGCAGCCACTGCTGCCTGTAGAAATAGATCTCATCTGCTAATCATGGGGGCTTCCATCATGGAAGCTCCCCATGACTGGGAAAACAAGGATCCACATGGAGGCGAGGAAACATGGAGAGCTAAACTGTTGGAAGTGGCGACAAGAAACTTTTTAAGTCAACATGTCAGGGAACCCACAAGACTGAGAGGCAACAATGAACCAGCAAGATTTAACCTAGTTGAAGTAAGGTTAATGTACTCACAGAAGAGACCAAAAAACAAAAGGCTGGGATTCCAAAAGGAATTTTCTTATCTCCTCATAGTTTCCCTATCAGATATAACTTAGGAAACAAAGCTCAGAGGAAAGACGGCCCAAGACATGATAGACTACATCACACAGAAGTGTAAGGAGGCAGCAGACAAGTTTGTCCCAGTCCAAAAAGAAAAAAACTGAAATGTAGATGAGAAACCATGATTTAATCAGAGAGGTAAGCTAGCAAAGCAACTAAGTACAAGGGTGTGGAGAAACTATAGAAATAACAAGACACTAAGGAGCAGAGAAAGATACCATAGCACTCGGGATAAATACATCAGGGTGAGAAGAGAGGCAGAAAGACAATATGAAAATGACATAGCACGCAAGGCAAAGACTCAACCTAAATTGCTGCACAGCCACATCAGGAGAAAAACAACAGTGAAAGAACAGGTAATGAAACCGAGGATAGGGTAGACAAATTTACTACAAATGACGAGGAAGTGGGCGAGGAACTCGATAAGAAATTCCAGGTCTTCACAGTAGAGCAAAGGGAAGTCCCCAGAGATAAGAGAGGGAATATCTAACCAAACATCACTAAATGAGTTTGTGACTACCAGTGGCGAGATGAGGAAGCATCTGCTAAAGTTGGATGTGACAAAGGCTATAGGCCCGGATGGAATCTCACCATGAATACTGAAGGAAGGAGCAGAAGCTCTGTGATTGCCACTACCCACAGTGTATAACAAATCACTGGTAACAGGTGAAATGCCAAAAAGTTGGAAGACGGCTAATGTGGTCCCGATATTCAAGAAGGGTGATAGACAGGAGGCACTGAACAACTTCAGTGTTCAGTGCATTTGAACCATTAAAACTATTATGCAATTAAAACTATTTTAAGACCAAGGAATTAAAAACATTTAATTCCATATGCAGATTGTACTGACACTGGCCACTGTCCCTAACTTGCATACCATGCAAGATGGAGAAGATTGTGCAATAAAAGCTAGTGGAACATCTGGAGCAAAAGAACTTTGTAACACAACATCAACATGGGTTCAGGGATGGCAAATCATGCCTCACAGGATTAATTGAGTTCTATGACCAGACAACAAAAATCAGGCAAGAAAAAGAGGGGTGGGCAGACTGAATATTTTTGGATTGCAAGTAAGTCTTTGACACAGTACCACATAAGAGACTAGTGTACAAGCTGGAGATGCAGGCAGGAGTGAAAGGGATGGTATTTCTCTGGATAAGGGAGTACCTAAGCAACAGAAGACAGGGAGACACTGAGAGGTGAGGTCTCGGGGTGGCGAGGCATCACCAGTGGAGTCCCACAGGGATCAGTCCTTGGATCTATACCGTTTCTGATGTATGTAAATGATCTTCCGGAGGGAATAGGCTCGTTCCTCTCAATGTTTGCTGATGATGCAAAAATTATGAGGTGGATTAAGACAGTATGAGGCTACAAGATGACCTAAAAAGCTGAAGGAATGGTCCAACAATTGTCTACTAAAGTTCAAACCAAGTAAATGTAAGGTAATGAAATTGGGTGGAGGAAATAGAAGGCCAGACACTGGATACCGAAAGGGAGATGAAGTCTTTCACGAAATAGACAGAGAAAGATCTAGGAGTTGATATTATGCTAAATCTGTCTCCTGAAGCCTACATCGAAAGAATAACATTGCGGCATATGCAAGGCTGGCTAACATCAGAACTGCCTTCAGAAACCTGTGTAAGGAAGCTTTCAGAACCTTGTATACCACGTATGTAAGGCCAATCCTGGAGTATGCGGCCCCAGCATGGAGCCCGTACCTTGTCAAGCACAAGATGAAACTGGAAAAAGTTCAGAGGCACTGTATGCCACTAGGCTAGTCCCAGAACTAAGAGGCATGAGTTACGAGGAAAAGCTGTGTGAACTGTAAATCCACGTCACTGGAAGACAGACGATTTCGGGGAGACAAGATCACCACATACAAAATTCTCAGGGGAATTGATAAGAGTAGACAAGGATGGATTATTTAACACGGGTGATACATGAACATGGGGACACAGGTGGAAGCCGAGTACCCAAATGAGTCAGAGACATTGGAAAGAACTTTTTTAGTGTCAGAGTAGTTAGTAAATGGAATGCATTAGGTGGTGATGTAGTGGAGGCAGACTCCATACACAGTTTCAAATGTAGAGATGATAGAGCTCGAGAAGCTGAGGAATCTGTACACCAGTAGATTGACGGTTGAGAGGCGGGACCAAAGAGCCTAAGCTCAACCCTGCAAGCACAACTAGGTGAGTACTTAAATAATTGCAAAACATTGAGAACAATTTTTTGTTTTTTAATACAATGAGTTTGCTTCCTGACCCCAGATGTCATTCTGGTAATGGGAAGACAAGAATTCAGTCTAAAATTAAGTTTTTTTTTGTTATAAAACTAAAATCTTTCTAGGTATAACTTGGCAACAATGAGATTGTCAAACAATATTTTTATTAACTTTCAAATGCGTCACTCAGTCACTGCCTCCTACTGCCACCAGGAGGTAGCATTCAACCCTCCAACCCAAACCCTTCACATTCCATCTGAACTACAGGCTAAGATAAAAGATTGGTTAAATAAAAGTTACTGGAATTCAATCCAAGTAAGTGTAAGGTAATGCAGATGGAAAAAGGAGATAGGGGGTCAGTAGGTAACTAAACCATAAGGGTAAGGCAACTTTAAGAAATTTGCAAGGTTTAAAGAAAAAGGTTGAAGGTTCACACAAAGCTGCAAGGTTCAAAGAAAACTAAGCACTGAAACATCCAAATGATTCTGCAAATAATTCAATCAGAACCCTTTCCCTCAGTTACAGCTAACATGTGGTAATCCCCACTGGGAGATCCCAACCTCCACTCCATTTTTGCCTCAGCCCTGAGCCCAGATCACGCAAAGATAAAGACCTGGGAGTGGATATACATTAACCCCTCACTAATACAGTACCTTCTCATTTGAACAGGATAATGTCAGCAGCATATGGGAAGTTGGCAAACATAAAAATAGCATTTAAGAATAAAAATAAAAGGCTTTCAGGTCCATATACACTATGTTAGACTATGATTAGAGTATGCAACACCAGCATGGAACCCACACCTCGCAAGGCACAAAATGTAAAAGCTCGAGACTAGGAGTGGCAATCCTGATCCATTGACATTTTGATATGTATTGTACTAAAACTAATAGTGTTAATATTTCTTATATTTTATAACAGAAATTGCAATTTCTGAAAGAATGAATCCAAACAATGCCAAGTCTCGGGTATGGAGGCAAGCATTGTTGAGATACTCATCTATAGTCCAGCAAATTATTTATTTCCAATACTTTTATGTTTCATAAAAACATTTAATTTGAATGCTTGTATTCACAGCATATACATATGACTAATTTAGTGTGAGGACAGGACGTGATTTTTAGCCCATATTTCTCTTAAACTTACCCTGAATCCATGCATGCTAGTGAGAGAAATAAGAGAAATGTGATGAAGAAAACACCTTAAAGAATACAAATATTTCTAAACAATCATCAATTATAATACTGTCGCTATATCTGAAATAATTAAATTTCTAAGATTATTCCAGATAATAATTTCAAAGAGCTCACCTTGATAAGGGATTAGGAACATTGGTTTGAGTAATGTAGGGCATATCACGATCCCCTCTTGGCGAGAGAGAGGTGTCCACAGCGTTGTCATCTAAACTGTCATTTCCCTCACTTTGGTGGCTGTAAAAGAATAAAAATAATAAGGAAATTTATTAACAAAAGATCTGAACAAATATTCTAAAAAAAAGTGTGCAGTTACCGTTGAGGCGCATGCCATATTTCACGATAATGGTTTGGTGAAGTAAATATTTGTTCTAGGTCAGTCAACCTTTGAGGGACAAAGTCACGAGACACTTGTGTGTTTTAACGCTGTAGTTTCTTTTCAGATTGTTAGCAATTGCAAAGTGAGGATTCAGAAGGGTGTACGTCTTTATGGAGGTATTTCTAACAGACATTCTGCGGTAAGCTGAACAAGGCTCCAACATCTGCATAGTACATTATGTTACCCTGGAGGTCTGTGTGTAAAGATCCTTGTAGCACTACTGTCTGAAAATCCTGTTTAATTGTTCTTAAATCTTATGGCATAGCAGATTCTTACCTTAGAGAAACAACCAAATGTGTCTACTGAAAAATTACTTTTAGCCCCTAAAGTACAGCTGTTGAAATACATGCATGTCTGCCCAGATGCACATAATTAAAAATAACAAATAAATTTTCCTTATAGAATCATTAATTTTGGTGTGACCAGACATGAGATTTACTGACACAGCAGCATGTGGCAGATGACTCAAATGTTGATCCTCAATGTTTATATGTTCATTTTCTCACTTTTTAGTTCATTCGCTATAGTATTATAGTATTTGTGTTGAATAATTAGATTTATGCACATGTAATTTACAAAAGATAGATTAAATACATTATTAACTATAATGGTAATGTAATAAATGTATTGTTACGGTGCCCTCTCCTATCTCTTTCGTTTGCCTGCTTTAAGAGTCATATCAACTCTCCCTACTGATTCTCTGAGGTTCAGGGAGTCTTTTGATATATGTGGCGACCAGACCGGCTGCCAGTTAAGGGAGAAAGTTACATTATAAGTTGCAAGTAAGGGGAAATTGGCGCCCTGATATAAAATGAAAGAGTATCCCCTACTGTAGATGTGACGTTTTGGAAGGGACACTAGCCGATCGCGGATTGGCCAGCTTGGGTCGCGGGCGACCAATCAGGGGCCCGCCATGACGTCACTGAGTGCTCCGGGCGGCGCCAACGTCAGAGTTGACCTGACCGTGAAAGCGAGAGGATGCACCTCGGTCAGCTCTCAAGGATTTGAGGCTCTACAAGCCTTTCTTAGTGGATTAGAGCAGGCTATCGCAGCCCATCTCACGTATTGGAGACCCCGTGCTTCTGGGAAGCAAAAAGGAACCAAGTTTATTGAGCAAAAGAGTGCCAAACTTGGAAAATATTCGGCGACGACGCTGGACGTTGAGGGCCTGAAAAGGTGTGGCGGGCAAGCCTAGCTGTGACCGGGTCACATCCACTGAGGGTTTTGGAAGGACGACACCGTTCCTAGGACAAGGAGCAACGCCTTGTGGAAGGGGCGAGTGTGGGAAAATAGTGATTAGCTCAGCGCCCATCGATGAACCAGGATTGGGGTAGCTGAATCTCAGGGATTGGAACGACGATGACGCAAAGGCTCCACGACACCTGAGGACCTGTGGAACGTTCCTGGATCGTCAAGGATCGACTCAGGAAGCGTGGGAACCTCACACCATCGAGGGACAGGCGTCGTGAGCCAGGAATGTAAGGTAGATCATTTTCCCTCCCATTACCCCTTGTGTGAGTAGGCTAGTTAGGCCACAATATTTACTTATGTATGTGGCAACAGGACATTAATACTTTAGTAGTAGAATAGGCTGCAAGGCAGCTTGTGTCCAGGACTGTCAGAAGGGACAGTGTGTATGGATGGCAGGACAGTGAAGGAGAGGCGCCGACGTGGTGAAGAGGCCCTCCTGTGAGAGAGTGTGGGACTCCTGTCTTTCTGCCCAGTTGAAGGAGTGTTGGAGGTCGTGGAAGAAGAGGCTGACGATCTCCAGACTTATTATCCTTATTTTCATATTCATGTATTACTTGTGATTGTATGTGTGTTCATGTAATTTGCATCAGTAAATTCACACTTTTATCATTGTGTTTAAGTGTGCCTCCATTTATAATATTTCTCTATGAGCATACACGAAGGTTATCATAGTACCACCTAGGGAACACTAGGTTCTCTATAGAAGTTCTTATTGCCTGGAGAGTGGTTAAGACAGCACGGACTTATATAAAAGTGTACCCTTAGCCATCCGATCAGTATCAGTGCCTGAATGGTGGCAATTAGTAACGTAGTGGCTAGAGAGAGGTAAAGCCACACAGACCTTCCTGGGAGAGTACCCTGGGTCGACAGTCTAGTAGCAGATCTATGGGAGTAGCAATCTTCTGGCTACAAACAATATATAATACACCCACTGAACTGCATTGCTGGGGTGCAGATAAAATAACCCAGCTGGTGACCTTGTTAAGAAGAAGATAGAGAACAGGCGGGAAAAGAGTTCCTGTAACCTTTTTGTCTGGCAGGCAAGACTCAGGAAGGTTATTGTTATAAGGTCAGCCTGAGTCTTCCTTCACTCCTCCACGGGTCTAGGCCGGAACTGTTAACAGCAGTTTCCCCGTGTTTGACTGAAGGGCTTCCAGGGTGAATCAGTGGCACCCCCCCTTTTTGTGGTGGAAGCAAAGACCTGCGGAAGTGGGCATTGTTGGTCCTCTCTTCTGTGACCAATGAGACTCCGGTGAATCCCGGGAGTCGGAGGGGCTGAGTATTCGGCCTTTTGAGCCCCTAGCAGCTGAGTGCTAGCAGAGCTCCGGCCCACCCTCCACGTGACAGTATCAATGATTATACTTGTATGTATAAATGAAATAATGTATGAATGAATGAATGAATATACGAGTAAATGAATAAAATGTATTTGTGAATGAATGAATGAATGCCTTGTTTGGGCCAATATGCCTTCTGCTGTTCTTTTATTATTTCCAACTGTTGATTCATTTGACCTGGTATACTTCATTACAACCATGTTACATTGTGAACATGGACATAATCTGTATACATATCATATAATTATAATGAAATTTTAAACCATGATGATTACTGCATTGGCACAGTAACATGTGTGATGATAACCAAATTTGCATAGTAAGCTATCGTGAAAACTATAGCAGGATTTTTTTATGGGTCTACAGATCGGCTCCACTACATCCATACAGAGCTAGTATATCCATATTAGCATCATGGGTATAGAAACCAGACAACAATATCTAAAATCAAGGTATGATAACTGATTTTTTAGGGTTAATAATGACTCGACCTTTTATTTTTCACATGCACTCAAATTCTCTAGACAAGAAGCTTGTGTGTGTGACAAACAATAATTCAGTGCAATAGCAGAGCAAGCCTTAAAACAACATCAAGTGCAACACACTGCATTACATCTAGGAAAAAATAAAGCACTTTCGTGAAATATAAAGCTTGTAGTCAAAGTGTTGTATCTATCGTACCTGGTTGGAGTTA